CCAGTGTGCTGGAAGGATGGGTTTGGTGCCCAGGAGCCAGGCTGGAGGACGTCTTCCCCTCACAAGGACCCTTTGCTCACACTTTCCCCCTTGTGGCACATAGGGGTTGGTTCACAATCAGGAGGGGTGAGAGGGTATAAAATGTGGATCCTCAAATTGAGGACCCTTCTAGCTAAGCCCCTCTGCTCGGCATGAGCAGAAAGACAGAGTGGCTCAAAGCCTTGAGTCTACCTAACACCTCCAAACCCCAGCAGGATGGTATAAAATGTGGATCCTCAAATTGAGGACCCTTCTAGCTAAGCCCCTCTGCTCGGCATGAGCAGAAAGACAGAGCAGGAATCACAATCAAAATGTGGGTCCTCGGTTGAGGAACCCACTAGCTAAGCCCCTCTGCTTGGCATGAGCAGAGACAGGGTGGCTGAGAGCCCTGAGTCCACCTAACACCAAAACCCCAGTCATAAGGGAATGTACTCTGCTACTCAGTTTTTAACAAGTTCCGTGCTCCTCTGTGTAACTGTGAACAGTCAAGAGAGGAGCGGCTGTGGAGCTGAGCTGAGTGTGTATCTAGCATTCTGCTCCTATAGAGCAGAACGGGAACTCCGTTATTAGTAGCCAGCAGAGTTTGTTAAGGTTTGGAGGGCTCCTATTGGTGTTTCCAAGCTGGAGAATCCCCCCCCCCCCGCCGCCTTAGAGTTTTGTAAACAGTTTGAGTGAAGACAGTCTGTCTGGGAATGAATTCATTCACAAACCCCCATGAAGAACACCAGAGTTCGTGAAATGTTCGTGTTGGACACCCTTCTACAAACATTGCCTCATGAACCCCAAGCCAGCCAAAATTCATGAAAAACTTTACTTTGTGAGCCGGTTCATGTCCATCCCTAGAGCTGAATGTCATAGAACTAGTCTCCAGCTTCTAAGGCATATTTATGTAGGGCCCAAAGACTTGCAAAATCCTCAGCATTTCTGCTGTTATTTTTGCTATAAAATAAAACTCTAGTCCTCGTGGTTACAGACATATCTTTTAAATTGGCAATATTATTTTCTGTAGAGGTAAAGGAATGGAAATTAGCAGATAGGTAAGAACACTGTTGTTGTTCTTCTTACTTTGAGTGGTAAGAAGTTCTAGAGCCAGTGAGGTCTGAGAAGTGCTGTCTGCACTTTGGAGGCGAGAATACTGGAAACTTAAGAGTGTTTTTTCAATACATGCTTTATTTACAAATATACAAACAGAAATCTGGCAGAGTCAATTCTACTAAGTGGCTATTCCACTACCCCACATCCGGTCCCCAGGGCACCTTAAGGTTCTTCAGCCAACACAGCTATGAATTATAGATATTGGCAGGTTCTTGGGTGTCGTTAAAGGCGGTCACTTGTACTCTTGACCTTTGTCTCTTCTGGTGACTAAAATCTTGTAAGGAGCAGACTGATAAGCACTTGATGTCCATTATAGGAAAACCACTGACACACAGCTTCTTTCCTCAGCCACTAAAGGAAATAAGAACATAAGATGAGCCCTGCTGGATCAGACCAGTGGTCCATCTAGTCCAGCATCCTGTTTCACACAGTGGCCAATCAGCACCTGTGAATGGCCAACAACAGGGCATAGAGGCCGAGGCCTTCCCCGATGTTGAATCCTGGCTCTGGGATTCAGAGGCTTAGTGCCTCTGAATGTGGAGGTTCTCCTCAGTCATCATGGCTAGTAACCATTGATAGACTTATCCTTCATGAATCTATCTATTCCCCTTTTAAAGCTGTTTATTCCTGTGGCCATCACTACATCCTCTGGGAGTGAATTCCACATTTGAATCACTCTCTGTATAAAGTAGCATTTCCTTTTGTCCATCCTGAACCTACTGCCCATTAGTTTCATTGGATGCCCTCAACATCTGGTATTGTGGGAGAGGAAGAAAAATTACTCTTTGTCAATTCTCTCCACCCCATGCATAATTTTAAAAACTTCTATCATGTCCTCCCTTAATCGTCTTTTTAAAACTGAAAAGTCCAAGACTCTTCAGCTTTTCATCCTACGTAAGCTGCTCCAACACCCTAACCATCTTGTTGGCCCTCCTCTAAACTTTTGCCAGCTCTGCAATATCCTTTTGGAGATACGATGACCAGAACTGTACACAGTATTCCAAAGGAGGCTGCGCCACAGACCTATTTTCCTACATCTAAACAGGATGTCAACAATGCAGAAGGTGCACTTTCCTGAATGAACATCTCATCAGCATGTAAATATGTTTCTGGTGTTCCTGTGAATGCAGCTATAACTTACAATATTCATAATTTGGTGACTTAAGGAAGCCAGGACAGCTTTCTCATATTGTTTACACGGTCAAAGGGTTTCCAGGTAGATTCAGGGGATAAGCTGGTGCACTTGATAGTAATATGTTGAACTGAATGTTAAAGTCCAGATTCAGGACTGAGTGTTAGTAATACACCTTTTTTCATATTTTGTGGGCTTTGTGTTCTCAAATATTGAACACTGAAATTGTTCCCTGTAAAACTTTTGATTCTAGAATACAGAGGTATAAATCAACCCATTCTTTGCTTAGTTACCTTTTTTCTCGTTCTTATATATGGGGGCATGACATGTGGTTTTTGTCATATGAAGAGATGACAGCAAAAATAGTTCAGCAATCTGAAGCCCACCTTACAGTAACACATACTGTCAAAAAAATAAAGTATACAGTGAAGTACCTGATATATAGTAGACTCATGTTCAGTGTTCCCTCTAAGCTGAGTTGGTGTGAGCTGGCTCACAGTTTTCTAGCCTCTGGCTCACACATTTTTGCCTTAGCTCAGAAAGGAGGACTCCAGAGCAAACTGATTTATGCAGAAGCCAAACCGCTCGCTCACAACTTTAATGCCAGTAGCTCACAAAGCAGATTTTTTTGCTCACAAGACTCCACAGCTTAGAGGGAACATTGCTCATGTTATACCATAAGAATTGCTTTAAAATAATTTTTGCTTTGTTGGAGATGAATGATGAAATATTTAATTAGTTCTGAAATTATATGAGGACCATTTTCCACAGGCTTCCTATATAGTAAATATTTCACATACCAATACATATTAATGCTTTATGACATTTGAAAGCTGGTATTTCTGTCTTTCAGATGGCATAAGCAGTCATTTCTATCTTTGGCAGTTCTTGAGCTTTCTGACCTTTAAAAAAAACCCTGTCTTTGTGAAGGAGCATGCATGTGCTTTCTCTCTATATATGTATTATATACACACCTGGATCTCAGACCAGAGCAGTTCATTTCCCAGAGGTTTGCTCTGTATAGTTGCTGTGATGAAACCACTGTCATTTATGAAATGTCTTTAAAATGTTATGCTGAGAACAAGCATGAGAACAAGCAATAAACCTGGGTTGTTAAAATTATGGATAATTATCAAGTAGGGTACCTAGCAAGATTTTACCTCTGTCACAGTCTCTAAATGAAGATTGCAAAATCCTCTTAACACTGATGATTGACTGAAAGTATCCCATTATCTTCTTATCATTATTCCAGATTAAAAAACAATTTACTGTGTGTACATTGTAAACTGTGTTTTAAATGAATAGATCTGAGAATGAGGGACAACTCTATTCTGCTTTGGGCTGGAATGGCTGATCTAGAGAAATTTAATAAGGACAGGTTAGTTGCACTTTTCCCAGTGGATTGGGGCCTTCTGCAGAGGGATTACTTTAGACAGCAGTCTAGTAAAATACATACAGGTTGAGTTCTCGTTCTTATGTTTTGGGAAGTGTGTAGATCAGAGATGAACAATTGGTGGACTTACTTCTATTCCTGCACCAATTTTATTCAGCCCTGGATTGCATTACCAAATTTGAATCAAGGTAAGGTTTACCCACAACTTTGAATGGAAAGAAATAATGCTTGCAAATTATAAAAAGCAAAGATACTGCAGACCAGAATGTGAGATCTCTTTTGCATTTGACATGTAACACCCCTCCTATGTGGTCTCTGTTAACCTTTAATGTTATATTTTTTTAAAACTAATGACAATTGATCATCATGAGTCTGTCAACTTGAATAACAGAATATTCTTTCTGTCCCTGGTAAGCTGTTTTGAAAAGCAGCACCTGGCTAGCTTCTGAGTTATTTTTCGAAATGGTTCTGCTTACTATTTTAATTATGATATTTTGGATAAGATATAGCACTTGTAAAAGTAGGTGAATTCACATCTTACTTGCAACAACGATTTCTTGATCGTTCAGTATTTACATCTACTGTGTCTTGGAGGAAAAGTGCAGGATTATGAAATGAGTAAGTCACTTTACAGCAAACAGGCAAGAATTCAACAAGCAGCGGCGCTACCAACAGTCAGCCTAGCACGCAGGTGCTTACTGGAAAAAAAACAGGGCAGCTTGTGCTTTACCGTTTGCTAAACAAAGTGCCTTTTGCTCATGTTCCAATAATCACTTTCCTTTATCATTATCTCAGATGTATTAAGGGCCGGGACCCAAAGGTGGGAAAAACCGCGGCTTGGCTAAACTTTAATCAGAAGACAGCGCCGTTCTCCTTGCAAGCCATGCCAGCAAGCTTTCTGAATGCGTGGAACGGCTAGGTGGGCTGTGGAGGAGGAGGAGGCTGCTCTCGCCTGCATTTGCTCGCTCCCTAAGATGTTCATGTCCGCAGCGGGCCTTCTTCTTCTAGCGGCTGTGTTCGCTGGCCTCGCCTAGGAGACAATGGCGCACAGACAGTAATGGGCAGGGACAGGGGGACGCCTGCAGCAGCTATGCTTTGCGGCTTGAGAAAAGCACTTAGTTAGCCGGTGGCCTCCACTAAAACCTACCCAGGCCCTGTCGTTTCCTCTCCGCTTCACGGGCAGGCGGCCGAACAGAGACAGCTCGGCAACTGGCCCGGCTACCCCCACCGAAATCACGCGGAGAGCCTCGGAGGCGGGTTGAGGGAGGAGTCAGAGGCGGGGGCAGGAAGAGGCGCCGCCGCGGGTGGCTGCGGAGCAGAGCTCGGGTGGAGTGAGCGGAGAGGGAGGAGGAAGATGGTGGAGCGGGAGGCCGGGCTAGCGGCTGAAGTGAAAGCGGCGTCTCCCCAGGTTTCCTGCCCACCAGCGCGCAGCTGCTGCCATCCGCATCCGTGTCAGACCTGCTGTTGCTGTTGTGCGCAGTGAGTGGGGTTGGCGCACAAGCCCCGAGCAAAAGGTACTCCCGAGGCGGCTCCTCTCTCGCTGGGGCTGAGGGGGATGGGATCGGCTGGGCTGAGCTGGTGGCTCTGTGAATCAAGGGAGGAGCGAGGGAGTCCGGGGGGAAAGCTGGGGGCGATTGATGCGGATGATGGATGGTGCAAAGGCTTGCCACAGACACGGGGGCTTGCAGGTGGGCTGTGCCTGGGTTAGATGCGTGTGTGTGTGTTGCAGTCGGGTGCGTGCGCGGCATTGTGTGTGTGTGTGTGTGTGTGTGTGTGTAGTCCAACCTGTGTGATCTGTATAAAGTGGGGTCTTCACACAATTTTTCCTTCTCAGTGCACCCGCAGGCTTTTCTTCCATCCAGTTAGATGCTGCGACTAGGAGGGGGAAATGTAGTGGAAGCCTCCGGACTCAAGCTTTAATGTGCAGTGGCAGGAACGTGTGATGGCTGCATCCCTGGAGAGGTATATTTTTGCTGGGAGGTGGGGTCATCTGAAAGGCTGAGCGAGAAGAGAGGCGGATGGATGGGTCTTAGGACTGCGATGGAAGGCAAGGCACAGACGCACAAGTGATGCTCTGAAGTCTCTCTGCATGCAGAGATGGAGGCAGTTAATGACGTGCATGTTTATCGGGAAGGATTATTCCTATGAAACCAATTAGAGCGCTCAGGGTTGTTGCTGGAGCTCACAATGCAGGATTCGGGATGGATTTCAGGGCACAGAGGTGGGGAGTGGCAAATCGCAACAGGGTACACATGGTAAATGGGACGGGGGTGGGGGCGAAGACAAATCACATCCTGAAGGGGGCGCTGTCGGTCCCCTTCCTGATGGCATGTCGACCGCCCCTTGCGTGCTACTATAGCCCCGGGCTTGTGTCCCAACTTGTTTGCTGGGAGAGGGAACCTGCTGCTGTTGATATCTACCAGTCCTGGGGAACTGAGGTGTCTTGACCTGCTTTGTTCCTTAAAGCTTGCATCAGTATTCACCCTGTCAACTTAAACACCATCCGGGTTTCATTTGTGAACTATGGAGGTGGTTATGACGTTTCACTCAAGTACTTCAGCTGTAACTGAGAGATTGATTCCCATCACCTCTGTGGTTTATTAGGAAGAATGCATTGGGTTATCTTTTATTCGTGGCAGTTAAGATTTCTAATAATGTTTATAGAGCACCTCAGCTTAAAACCAACAGTGCATATTACAAAGAATAAATAAAATGAGCTAGAACTTAAGGCTGCCAGACAGTCTTTGGCTCTCCTGGCTATACTACACACAATACCATACAATAATCATTATTATTAATAAAAAGGCTCCATCCCTTCTGCTAATTAGGTGGGAATGAATTCAGTGTTGGGCAGTAGACCAGATCAGACCATGTGGCAGTCATTTATAACCTTGAGGATAGCAGCTTATTTCCATCCTGGAGGTATGCCTCAAGGTATGGATGTGTACTGCCATCCATCCATATTTAGACATTTCTTTTATTATATTTCAGAGATCCAGTCTAACAATAATCTGGACAGTATCTGAGTCACTGCCTTATGTTTACTGCACTGCTGTCAAAAAGAGAAACCTTTTCCAGTGCATGCAGGCTGTGCCTGTCATTCTTTGTGAAGCACATATATAACGTACTGTCATAGTCATTAGAGGCTGTGAAATACAGATATGTATGTGCATGTGATGTTTAGCTTTAGTGTGATTTAAAAAAAAAATAGAGAACATTTCACCTTTTGTCTTAAACCTGAAAATCATTTCAGGGACTTCAGGTATCAAGGATAGATCTGATGGCATTGTTTTGTTCCTTTTAGTACAGGGTTGGGTTCACATAACCTCAATTCCTAAACATATTGAGGTTCCAATCCTGTGCACACATATTGAGGTTCCAGCCCTGTGCACACAGTGGGGCTTACTTTGTAGTAAATCATGAGTTGGATTGGACTGCATGTGAAAATAAGGACAGTTGCATCCAAGGAATCCCCTTGTTCTGACTGAGAGTAACTGCAGATATTTGATTGCAATTTAATTCCCACATATGCTTTTGTATATTGTTCTGGAAGAGCAATAATTCTATAGCTATTAATCACTATTTAAAGGCCTGCTGTCAGCATGTTTTAAAGCACAGATAGGAGCTAATAGTATCCTGAAAATAAATGTAGTACAGGCATATATCATTTTTACATTTTCCATGTATGCCTGTGCCACATTTATTCTGTTTCCTCTTTCATGTTATTTCAAGAGCATTTCTGCTTATACATTTCAAACATAAATAGCTAGCTGTCAGTATAGTGACAAACTTTTTTAATGGATGGGCCCTTGTGCTTTAATCAGAATGACAAACAGAAATTTGGCCAGAGAAGCTGTTCCTCGTATATGGATGGAGTGATGAGAAAAGTTTCTTCTGTATTTTTATCACTCAGTTTAAAAGGCTTGCATATCCTAGCAGGGAGTTGGGTTTTTATGTGAAGAGAGCCTAGTTTCAATCCCCATAATGCTCAAAGAATGGTGTGAGCTACCTGCTCTAGCTTTCTCTCTCTCAGGCTACCCTTGTTCACAAGATGATTGTGAGGACGGTATCAGTTGTGGCAAAGAATAAAGTTGAAAGAATTCTGTTGTATTTGCTGTACAAAATGGCTGAATATAGGTTATAGTAATCTGAATTAAAAGGGGATATAAGCTTTGGATTTGAACTGATTTTCTAAGGAACAGTAGTTGTGGTACATATGAATTCTGTAGTTCACAGAATTATTGAACCTCTTTTGTAATTACCCTGGCTCGCAGCTATGTTCTGGTTTTGCACTAATGCATTTGGCTTGATTTAAAATAGCAGTAATGCATTTTGACTGTTGTTTTGTCTTCTACCAGATGTAAAATCTAGCATTTTAGAAAGCTAGAGAAGAATATATTAATAGTTTGACCTGTTAGATAGGAACTAAAAGATTGCCAGGGGAAGTGTATTCTAAGGAAGAGAGTGCATTTTATAAAAAGCAGAAATGTGTTTTCTCAGATTACAATGATTTATTTAAACTTCATAGTCATCTAAGACTAAATGAATTCTGTTGCTTGAAAAATAAATGTTTCTAAGACTGAGATTCTAAGCACACTTCCTTGAAATAAGATTCATTGAAACCAAATAGATGCATTTAAAGATGGTGTCTAAATTTGACTCATTTCTAATTTGACTCGTTTTCCAATTAAATGTTAAAATATATTTGTCTACTTAAAATATTTATCATACATACCCTCCTTTTACAGATATCACCCGTTTGATTACTGATGACATTTGCACCCACAGTGATTGTTGGGCACAAGTTTCTTTGTTATGGCCTTTAGTCTGTATTTTCAAGTCATTCTAAAGAAACAGTTGTATAGAATGGTATACTTATTTTTTAACTTGTATGCTGCTCCATAGCTTGAGTTGTGAGAATGGTTCACAACTGAAAACAACATCAGTAAAAAACAATAAAATCCTCTCGTGGTAGGTCATGGGGGGAGGCAACGGGGGAAAGGAAGGCAGTGCCATTACTGGTGGGTGACAGGAAGTGGCAGTGGAGCTTCTATGGTCATGGCAGGCAAATAGCTACTGAGTGACTAGTGAAACGTGTGTGTGTGTGTGTGTGTGAAATGCTGTCAAGTCGATTCCAACTTATGGAGACCCTATTAATTAATGTTCTCTAAAACATCCTGTTAGCAAGCATTCTTAGATCTTGTAAATAGAGGGCTGTGGCTTCCTTTATTGAGTCAACCCATCTCCTATTGGTCCTTCCTCTTTTCCTGCTGCCTTCAACTTTCCCTAGCATTATTGTATTTTCCAATGACTCTTGTCTTCTGATAATGTGACCAAAGTACGACAGCCTCAGTTTAGCTATTTTAGTTTTTAGGGAGAGTTCAGGCTTGGACCCACTTATTTGTCTTTTTGACAGTCCATGGTATCCGTAAAACTCTCCTCCAACACCACATTTCAAAGGAATCAAGTCTCTTCCTGTCAGGTTTCTTCATTCTCTAACTTTCACACCCATACTTCGTAATGGGGAATATTATGGCATGAATTAACTTGATCTTGGTCATCAGCAACACATCCTTATGCTTAAGGATCTTTTCTAGCTTTTTCATGGCTGTCTTCCCCAGTTTCAATTGCTTGACTTCTGGGCGAAGTCTCCCTTTTGGTTGATGACTGAGCCAAGGAATATAAAATCTTAAATAATTTCAGTTTCTTCATTGACAAGTTGTGTAATTCCCCAGTAGTCATTACTTTTGTCTGCTAGATGTTCAGCTGTAATCCTGTGTTGGCACTTTCTGCTTCAACCTTCATCTGTAGTTGTTTCAAGTCTTCACTGTTTTGTGCCTATAACGTGGTGTTGTCTGCATATCTCAAATTGTTAATGTTCCTTCCACTTTCATCTAAATCTAATCCATCTTTCCTTATGATGTGTTCTTCATACAAATTGAAGAGACAGGGAGATAAAATGCATCCTTGTCTGACAGCTTTGCCATTGGAAACCGTTCTGTTTCTCCATAATCTGTCCTAACAGTGGCCTCTTGTCCGGAGTATAAATTCTGCATCAAAACCATCAAGTGCTGTGGGACACCCATTTCCTTTAAAGCCAACCATAGCTTTTCAAGATCCACACAGTCAGAAGCTGTTTCTTCTGAAATTCTCTCGTATGCTCCAGTAACTAACGTAAATTTGCAATATGATCTCTAGTGCCTCCTCCTTTTCTGAATCCAGCTTTTCTTATTCATATGTGGTAACACCCTTTGTTGTAAGATTTTGAGCATCACTTTACTCGCATGAGAAATTAATGCGGTGGTCTGATAGTTGCTGGAGTCTTTGACTTCCCCTTTTTCCCTTTTCGGAATTGGGATGTAAACTGAGCATTTCCAGTCTATGGGTCATTGTTTTGTTTTCCATATTTGTGGCACAACTTTGTTAAGATTTTGATGGATTTAGTTTCTGTGGCTTGGAATATCTTTACTGAGATCCCATCTACTCTTGGGTCACTTTTTTCTCTTAATTGTTC